TATATATATATATATATATATATATATATATATATATATATATGAAGACATACAAAACTGTTTGTTTCGATAGTTGGATTTCATAAAAAGAATAATTCTTGTAAAGTTTATTATTTTTAGAGTAGCCGCCACGTAATAATGATCAGTTAATAAAATTTTTCAACACTGAGAAAGCTCGTATAGATCGAGGATTTGAGTATTACGAATTTCAAAAATAACCTACGCTAAGAGGAGCGCTTTAGATATATCTGTTCTATTAATAAAAGTTCACGCCTACACTTGGAAGAATGAGGTAAAAACACTACATGTAATTCCATATAAGTCAAGACTATCTAAATACCGTTAAAAAAGTAGAAATTTATTCTTTATAGGTATGTATGTGGTAACCTTTAAAACCACCCGAGAAAAAATATTTCTATATCTAATATATAAAATTCTTGTAATCATATATAATTGTATATAATCAATTAATCATATATGATTATATAGGGAATCACATATATAATTATATACAATTATATATAATCATATATATTTATATATAATCATACATGATTATATATAGAATTGTATATAAGGTTATTGTTCAGTGAACAGGCCCACTCAGTGAGCAATACGTCACTGTGGGCTCCTCAAATTTACAACACGCACCTGACAAGCCATCGTTCCCGCTATTTCTCACCCGCATGCGTAAACCGCCTGACTGATCACGCCACAGGTATCGAATTTTACCATTGGCTATCGATGTCGACATCAATAAAACGAATTTATTGATTGGCTATCGCTCTCGCTAGACATGCGCAGTAGCCTTTTTCTCCAAGACGAGGAAGAAGACGAATTATTAATATTATCTTTCGCATCCATCTTCCCGCTTGTCAAGTCGCATTTTCGCATACATAAATTTCGCTTTCTAAATTAACCGCTTTTTCGCCTTTAAATAATTTTCTTTGCTTAATTAATTTGCTAATAATTCGCTTTAGTCTGTTTTAGATAACTTACAATTATTTGTGCAATAGTTACCGCTTTTTTCAGTGCTGGCAGTTTATTCAACCACGTGCTAACCGGCTTCGCTTTTGCTAACCACGCTGTGTATTACATATCCGCTTTTATTTAACCAATCCGCTATTGAACTAGTTAAATATTTAGTGTATTTATTGTTAATAAATATCTAGTGTTATTTTTGTTAATAATTTTTGTATTTTAATTGAGATAACCAGACCGAAACCTGATCCTTAGTTTTTCCGCTTTTTCAGCATTTTACAGTTATATATAATTACATACAATCGTGGACATTAATTCAAGTATGTTTTCAAATTTACTAAAAAATAGCCGTTTATAAACTTGAACGTTTGTAAACTAAAAACTTTTAAAACTGAAAATGACTCCGTTTATAAAATGAGTTGATCATTAAATAAGAGAATACTAAATAATGATTAATAAAAATGATGCAAAATGTAAACTTGTAACAACCTTAAAATGTCATAAAATAAAATTCAACCAATCAAAAAAAAAAAAATAAAAACGTTAATAAACTCGATAGTAAAGCGAGCGAATTTTAAAAATTGACATTAATAGAATAATACATTTTTAAATACGGCTAAGTAAAAATAAAGTCGTTAAAAAAAACTGAAATAAAAAAAAAACAAACAAATGCATATCTTGACATTAGAATAAAAATAATTTTAAGATAAAATATTTACGTAATGTTGACATTTGTTAAAATTAGTGCATCGTGAATTTTGCCAATTCAAAACTTAGCCACGCGAATTCAGCCAATAGTAAATTTTGCGATTCATGAAATAAGTAAATGCTAAATTTTGT